GCTGCAGGTCTCGGACGTGGCCCTTAACACCTGGGAGGACCCTGCACTGATCTCCAGTCTGCAGGAAACTTTGCATTTTTCTCTTCCACATTGGGTTTCATTCAGAGCAGCCTCTGAGCAGGGCTGATCTAAGCTGCCATGGGACGGAGATGTCAGACAGACAGGACGTGATGCTCGTATTTCATCCCGCACTGCTCAGGGACAGAGAGAGAGCCGGCTTCACATCCGCAGGTTTTTAATTCTTGGAAAAGTAAACGCCCTGGGAACCAGCACCGCTCTCTGCTGAAGACAGAGATTGTGGCATCGGCAAGACCTGGACAGGGTGAAGGGATTTGGGGAGGGGTGCTTGTCTCTGCCTTCCTCCACGTCCCTGTACCGCCAAACGAAATGTTTTTTCATGGAGGGAGCTGAACAACTGAAACACTGTTAGGATCTCTCCCCAGCAGCCCACGCGCTCTGGTTGCCTAAGGAGAATGTTTTGCCCGCCTTCCTCCAACCTGGACCCTTACGTCTGCACTGGTGAGCAGCTTTGTTTGCTTCTTATGTTTTGTGTTTGGTCCCAGAGCCAATTCAGGTTAAATGTCCATGGGTCCCTTTTATGTTCCAGGAAGAAGGAGTGGCTGTATGTTATCAGAACTTAGATTACTGCTGTTGACTGGGAAGATGACACGGAGGAAAAGGACACATTTTTGGATACTCCAAGGTAATTTCTGAGCATTTTTGAGAAGTAGCAGTGTGGAGGCAACTTTCTAAGCTTTCCGCCTTATTTATGTAATGCTTTAGGAGTCTTAAAATGTGATCACATATACTGCTTCATTTCACCCTTGAGACAACCCAAGAGGTAGGTGTTATCACCCCCATTTTACAGTTGGGAAAACAGAGGTAAAATGGCTCGCACGAGGTCTTACAGGGACTTGGCTGCAGGGTTCCGTAAGGGTGAACCTTGTAGCTCGGAGCACAGCCAGCGCTTCTGACTGCTCTTCTCTGTCTTCTCCCACGGAGCTAGGAGACCCCAGGGTAGAACGGCCCAGGTGTGAGCCGACACGCGGGAACATGGGTGCACACCTGAGGTGCTTATCCCCAGGCTGCTGCCTACAGAGCTCTGCTCTTGAGGGGAGGCAGCGTTTGGAACTGGCAAGCGGCCTTATGCACGTGGCTTCATGCACGTGGCCTTAGGCACGTGGCCTTAGGCAGGGCAGGAAAGGCCCCACCCTGCCCTTGGGGACTCCAGTAGGAGTCCACTCACCCCAGCCTCACCGACACTCTCTTCCCACAACTACGCCAGGACGTTCCCCTTTTCACTTCTGCTGATTTGTATCAATGGTCCTGTAAGCAGAGAGCTTCTCTTAAACCCTCTCGTAACTTCACTTGTGCTTGGTAAGCGCTCAGTGACTAAGAGCAAACGTGGGACATGATTCGGAATAGAATAAGCCTTTACATAGTATTTGGCCAACTTTTATATGGGACCGTTCATCCCTTCTTACATAATCGCAGCAAAATAGGAGGTAAGTACCGGGTGGCATGGGGCAGTCCAGGGAAAAAGGCTGCTCCAGTTCGGCGCACGTTCCCGTCAGGCCCACCCAGCCCTGCGGCGGCATGGCCCGAGACGTGTGCTGTGTGGCGTCTACTCGTTCTCCTCCGGAAACGTCACTGCTTTTCTCTGTTCTTCTGCCTCTGGCGCCTGTTGACTGACTGACAGCAGTTTGCCGCAGTCCTGCACGCGGACCGTGACTCCAAAGACCATCCTAGAGGCCGAGGAGCAGGGCTGTTCCGCGTCGTGGCAGTCTGGGCTTCCAGAAGCAAAGCAAAAGCCCAGGGGGACCACGTACCACAGTGTCTGCTCAGCCTGACCCTGCTCGGAGGAGCTCCTGGGCTCCGGCGTGGTCCTCTGTTAAAGTGAGCCTGCATTTGTTTGGGGACCAATTCTGCTTGCTACCGAGATGAGCAGAGGCTGTAAAGTCACCATCTCTCAAATGGCTGCAGAACGCCCAGGCTTTATTTTAATGCTCAGCTTCAAGACGAGGTTCTTCAGGAAGTTGGGCACATCTTCAGGACTTCGGCCGGAGACTCCACTGCAGGGAGACTGGGGAACCATCGCCACCTCCCAGGGGCCCCGTCACCGTGTCCTGCGGACACGGCTCAGCTGGCCTCCTGGCTCCTGCCGTCTCCACGCAGACACTCGCAGGCTCCTGCGCTTGCAAACCCACCTCGTCTAGCCACCCTGGCCCACGGGCCCTCTTCCCCCCCAAGACCCCTCCTGTGAGCACCCTCCAGAGCACCGTGGTCCAGACTCCAAAACGCAAGGCAGGGGCTGAATGGAAGGCGGGAGCGGGCTGTGTGAACACACCACACAGGAGCCAAGCACTTTAATTTTCTTTTTTTTGGAGGCATAATTTAGTCATCTTACCTAAAGTGACTTGTACTCTGTCTGTGGCAATCCAGGGTTACAGAAAACTCAGCACCAAAGGATGGAAGGGAACTCCCCGAGTGTTCCCCATTTCTGCCCTCCCCCTGCACCTCAAGTACCCTCCGAATGATCACACTCACCCGCACCTCATTCTCGCTCACACGTGTTCCTTCCCATCGCACATACACACGCTCACACAGACTCACACAGAAAGAAAGAGAACCGAAGCCCACTAAAGCACGGGGGGAAAGGATTTAAGCACGTTTCCTCCCCATCTGGCGCTGAGACCATGCCCCTGCCTCCCCAGCAGGGGCTCACCCAGTTCCATCACTGGGTCCCTCCAGCGTCCACCAGTCCTCCAGGGTCCCCTTTGGATGGTGGTGCATCCCGGGTCAGTCGCTGTGTTTCTGCTTGCTGTCCATGTTGCCGTAGGCGGAGCCCTTGTCAATTTCCGTGACACCAATCATCCATCGGACCCCCATGGAAGCTGCGGAAATAGGAAGGGCAGGTTAGGAGAAGCCCGCAGGGACTCCGCTGTGATTTGCTCGATGGGAACCAAAGAAGGGAGCTTTGTAAATCTCAAGCATCAGCTGAGAGCTGGCTGACTTGGGTGCACTTCATAATCCCTGCCTCAGTTACCCTTGAGCATGGGTGCCGGCTCTAACTGGACTAGGGGACATTAAAACAGAGCAAGGCTGTTCCGGTGGCAAGTTTTAATCCTTCTGCACTGGAGGTGAACAGAACGTGGTGAGCCGTACCCCGCTGTGCCCAGGGGCTTGCAGAATTCCTCTGCTTCCTATGCCGATCCCTAAGGCAAAGAGGACTCTTTGGTGAACGCAGTGCAGTAACTTACAAGCACCCTTCAGCAAGGCTTAATGAAGGACATACCAGGCCCTGGACAGTGCAGCAGCTCAAATTCCCGTTTAGCGCCCAGCATGTCCCAGCATTGCTTTTGGTGCAAGTTTTAGAGCAGCAGACAAGCAAAGTCCCTGCCTGCCTTTTCTCCGACAGCAGGATTTGGCCCAAACAGAGAAAGCGTAGGACGCACACCAGAGCCCGGTTTAACCGCTAGGAGGCTGGAAAACACGGTCTAGAGCGCAGAAGCTGCAGTTAAGCGCTCCCTCTGGAGACGATAGACACGGTGAGCTCCTTGGGCGCAGGGACCACGTCTGTCTCAGTCACCTTGGTGTGCCGAGCACCGAACACGGGGCCTGGCAACAGTCTGTTTACAGTACGCACGTAAAAGTGGATAGATGGGGAGCGGCTGAAACTGTGAACTGTCAGACCAGGGAGCCGACTGGGATGGAGAGTCTGCCCAGCGTATGGGGCTTATGGAGCCCATGGGTCAAGTTACAGTGGGCTGCTTCCAGCCTGGGGCCAACTCCAAACAGGCTGGGACGTGAGCCCCTGCCCCAGCATTAGAACTTTGTTCAGTGGAGTTGATGACGTTGTGGAGAGTGAACCTCGGACTCCAGTGCAGAAAGGCTTCCTGAGAGGACCAAGACACAGAGTAATTCCGGGCAAAGCGTAGCAAGGCTCGGGCTCACGGGTGATGAGGTCTTGGGGAGACAGCAGTCACTTCCTCCAAAGCCGGAGACGCCCCACGTCTCCCAGGGAGAGCGCTGGGCCTCTGCTCACCACACACCCGGGCCGCCCTCCCCAGCCATCATGTGCAAGGCGCTCCAGCTTCCTCCAGAGGGCGTGGTCTGCGTCTTCGCCTTCCTGCTACTGCATGCAGAAAGGCTGGGTCCAACCCTCCATCCCCATCCCACTGGGGGCCTGACCACCACAGCTCCCCTGGACACCGGCCAGCCAAGCTGCACACTGGCCGTGTACAGTGGTAACTGGCTGCCCCACTTCAAAAACAAGTGGCAGTGCCAAGGGAAGCTTGGGGCTATGGAGAAACGTCCGTCGTTTGAAACCACATACGGGTCAAATAAAGCCCGTAGGGATGAGTGAAAAGACTGAGTTACCCAACATCTCCACTCAGTGCAGGTGGCAACCGAGGAGACGCACCCACACCTACTTCCCCAAGGAGGCCTGGACCCACTTGGAATAGCAAAGAGCCTGGCTGGCTCCTGCCAGGACCCAGGAAGCCATTTCCTTGCTGATGGGCAGAGCCCGGGGAGGACGGAGCTCGTCCCTGGGCCCTGGCGGGGCTTGCAGGCGCAAGGGGTGCATGCGCACGGGGAGGGGGTGCCCGGGCGGAAGCCCTCCAGGCTGGGGTTTCTGGGCCCGGCTCGAGCTTCTGCCTGTCCACCTGCGGGATCTGCAGCCGGGCCTTGTCCTCACAGACGGCGCGGTGCCCCCCCCGCCTCCTCCCTGCCCCTTCCGCGATGCCCCCCCCCCCGCCCAGGCCCCGCTGGCCCCGTACTCACCCACGAAGAAGACGAGGACAAAGCTGGCCAACGTCAGGGAGGAGCCGCTGCGGACCATGTTGACGAGGAAGCGGAAGAACGGGTAGAGCAGCAGCGAGGCCCAGAACAGCCAGTTGACGAGCGTCCAGGGCCGCCGCGGGGGCACCATGGGCGTCCCGGGGAAGGTGCCCGTGCGGGAGTACTCCTCCTGGAGGGCGTCCTGTGGGCAGAGGGCCGCCTGACCTCCCGCCGCCTGCCCGCCCCCAGGCCCCCCACCCCTTCCCCGCGATGAGGCCGGGCGGCCCGCTGGGCCAGAACCTCCTGAACCCGGTAAACGGCCAAGGGGTGGGGGTGGGGGGTCTTCCAGCTCGACTCAAATACCCCAACATCCTCCCAGGGCCGACAGCGCGCTCGCCGAACAAAGAGCATCTGCGGCCCTGCTTGGCTGGCTCACCCCGTCGTGGCCCAGTTGTGCAGGGAGTTAGTTGAGTTTTCTGGAAAACAAGCGTCCATATACCCAAACCTTATACCTTAAGCGCTTAATTTTCCCTTTAACAACTTGAGATAGAGATGTCTAAAGTACTTGTCTTACTTGTCTTCTTTCCCAATCAGGATGTACTAAGTGATGCGAATTTCTGACCACTCAAGGTCATGATAAAAATGAGTCCTCAAAGGGCCGCTTTGGAAGGAGAGCCCCTGGCCCTTCCTGGGCACTTCAGGGGCTCTGCCCTGCGGCCCCTTCCCGGCTGCCCCTCCAGCCTGGCGGGTCTCAGGGAAATCACACGATCGAGCAATTGTTGGACAAGGTATCACGTGCGGGGGGGCTCCCAGCCTCAAGAGGTGAGGGAGACACAGCCAGTCGGCCAAACAGAGGACTTCCCAGGAAGTGACAGTGACGTGTGGATGCCCAGAGAGATGGCACCTAACCTGCCAAGGCCTCCCATTCCGCCTCCTGGCCAGAACTTGGGTGACTTTTCTTATCCCAGCAGGGCCATCAGGAGCCTGTTAACTAGGTAACTGGGGTGCGGTGGACTGGATATTTGCACCTGCCTCCCTGAATTCCCACACTGAAATCTTAACCCCCAAAGATGGTGGTATTAGGAGGAGGTGCCTTTGGGGGGTGATTAGGTCATGAGGGTGGAGCCCCCGTGAATGGGGTTAGTGCCTTTGTAAAAGGGACCTCAGAGAGCTCTCTCAGCCCTCCCACCATGAGGACACAGCAACATGGCAGGCTGGGACCAGAATCTGACTGACCATGCTGGCACCCTCATCTCTGACTCCTGATTATCCAACCTCCAGAAATGTCAGCAGTAAGTTTCTGTGGTTTATAAGCCACCGTGCCTGTGGGTGGCACTTTGTTACAGAAGCCTGATTGGACTAAAACAGGAGGTGATACTTTTGTGCCTTAAAAAAAAAAACACCAGCTTTACTGGGGTGTCATTTACATACCATAAAATTCACCCATTTAAAAAATGGGCAAGTTTTCTTGAATTCTTTCTTTTCCTTAATAGCCTTGATAGTGCTTTTCTATTGTAATGTTACAATGGGGAACTGAGGATGCTTTTTCTATCTCGTTTCCAGTGAGACATTTGCTAAGCCAAGATTTTTTTATCTGTAACCTCTAACAGGAGGAAAAAGTACTCCCTTTTCTAGGAGTCAGCAGGATTCTGAACTTTGTATTCACTCCAGAGTTTTCTTTTTCTCTGGTTTCATTAGAAAACTAAACCTCACCCAAGACCCCCACTGCTCTCCAGTGACGTGGTGGCCACTGCGACTCCTGCCAGCCTCGCGGGCTCCGTCCGTGTGACTTTGTGACTTTGTGACTTTGCCGGGTGGGACACAGACGCCTGGCTCAGGGCCAGACGTCAGCTCCAGCAGCAGAATGTTTACGGCCTCTCTGGGCTGTGTTATTTCTTTTGTAATAAAGTCCGCCTGTCAGGGAGGGGGACTTTGTTAATGATGCCTCCATTTTTTGGTCTCCACATGTTATCATCCTGTGGCATGTTTTACCTTGGAACTGGGAACTGTATTTCCTAGAAAGAAACAGCACCCCAAAAGTCTACAGGAGCAGGAGAACCTGTTGACAGAGGACAAGTGCCCTGAGTCCACACTGTGTGCGGCTGCCACCAAATGCACTGGACAGGAGGGCACAGAGGCCGAGCGACCCACGTACAGCTGGACCGACTGGGCTTTCCCAGCGTTCAGCTCAGCAAAATAAAATTTCTCTTATGACCCTGGGTAGAAAGGGAAGAAAAGGAGAGGAAAAAGAAAGGGGGGGGGGCGGACAGAGAGAAAGAGCTGGCTCCTCCTTATGTCAACAAATCCAGGCAGGGGGAGCTTTCTGGGAACAGCCCTCCCAGGCATCAGCCAGGGCTCAGGCCTGGGAGTGTGTTGTTTGAAGAGGACCGTGCCTTGGGGCCAAGCCCACCACTCTTCCAAGGCGTGTAAGTGTTACACTTTTCCCTCAGTGTAAGCGGAAAACCCACCGCCAGCTTGAAAACCTCTTAATTCCGACTCCTGAAGGAGTCAAACGCGGCCCAGGTGGACCCTTGTGGGCCTTCGTCCTGCTCACGCTGGTGATGTTTTAGAGACCAGACAGGCAATCACACTGTGGACCCAGAGCCATCACTGCCAAAGAGAGCACCCACACCCCCCCAAGAATATTTTGCCTTCAGACCAGCAGCGGGAAAATGGACAAAGGGCTCTTGGGGCCGTAACTCCCTCTTTTGTCCACTACACCCATGAAATAGTCTTCCATTCTTTCTGTGAAGGCCCCTTTAAAAACATTTTGCGACGTTTTTTTTCCCTGTCGCCAAGTAGAGCGTCGGCCCTGGGGTCATTAACATCCAGGGCGTGAGGTCTCGCCCGGTGGGAGAGGCTCACCCTCCACCATCAACTCCCGGAGGTCCCAAAGCACCACAGCTGCCGCTTGAAAAGGACCCTTAGATGGTGCAGAGCCCACCCCGTAGCACCGACCTTCTCCTGGTAGAGCTTGTGCAGCCAGGCCGCGCACCTGTCCTCATCTTCTGGGACTTCTCCTAAAGGGATCCGCCTGCCAAGTAGAGAGCAGCTAGCAAGGAGGAGGCCCATGCCGGGTGCCCCGAACACAGGTTCAAACTAACAATGCTTGCCATCCTTCAGCTTCTATTTAGGTAGTAGTCTAGATAATGTGGAAGTGAGAGGGTAATTCAGTTGATTGAAAAGAGGGGAAATCCACATCCATATGGGGGGAAATACAGGCCCAAATGCAGTCACGGCCCACGAGGGAATGGCCCAGAGCCTGATTCAATGACTCAGACAAAGACCAGTCAAGGAGGACACCTGCCTCTCTGTGCTCCCTAGCTTGGACTATAACACACAAATGAGATGCTGCTGAAATGTTCTCCACTTGCTTTGAGGCCTCTTTGTAAATTACAGATGCTCTTTTCTGTGTCTGTTTCTATGGGGTAGACACATCCTCCAAGAAAGGGGGTCAATAAAATAAACTCTCACACTCAGTCTCAAAAATGGCTGCAAAATACTGTGTTTCGTTTGTCGGACCTGAGCTCTTTGATGAGAACGAGCTGGTGAGAGTCACCAAGTGTCTGGGAAGACAAGAGCCTTCACCTACTTATTTACATCAGTGCACGAGTCTCTATTAATATAAACATGACTGTGAACACATTCCATTTAGTACAGACTGCAGACAAGAAATTATTAATACGTTCATACATTCCCCTGGAGGAAGGTCTGCGGGTCATTTGTGATTTATCTATTTTGGGATGGGCGCCCTATTTTCTGGAAAGGAAACGAAGCCAGCTTACCTAACGTATAAATCTGCGTGATATTTCTTTCCATTTAGGACTCCCAGCAGTGTTGGATTTTCATTATTTCTGAAATTGAGTGTACAGTCATATACAGCTGAAACTATAAAAAAATAAAACAAATACAAAGCAGTATATAGCGTGTGAACCCAATTTCATCTTGTAGATACACAGATTGGAAAAACAATAATTGAGTTGCTAGCTGATTATCTGGGAATGAAGGGACTACTAATTTCTTCTTCATGCTTTTCTGTACTGTCCAAATGTTCTACGTTGAGTACGTACCACGTTCCATCATCAGAAAAGCACACAGCTTAGTAACAACAGTTACTACTGAGGTCAGATGGCCCATCTAGATGATGTACTACAACAGATATCAATATTTAAACAAATATCAATAGCAAGGTAAGTCAATCCAAAGAATACGATCTAAGGAGGTTTCTGAGTTACAGCAGCACAACCATTCTATGTGCATTTTTCCCCTAGAAAAATAAGATAGCTATAAAACTAGAATAAGATACTGGAAACTTCCTGAGGGACTGAAACATGGTTTAGTCAGTTGACACGTAGCTGAGAAACAAACAAGAATGTGTGATTTTTAACCGGTCTGCCAGCTGGTGAGTTAACCTGTCAGCGTATTGAAAGTTATGTCAACATTCGCTGCTGGAGCCCCAGGGCCTGGCCCAGGCTCCGTGGATGCTGCTTGGATGGCAGGATGGCAGGAGGACAGGATGTGTGAAGGAACAGTCAGGGAAGAGCAGGGTAGAAATACGCAATGGAAACAGACGGCCCCTCCCGCAGAGTCAGTAAGGCAGGACTGGACAGTGGAAAGAACAGAAGTTCTGCCGTCAGTCTGGGTGCGAATCCCAGGGCCACCTTTTCCCAGATGCGGGATCTTCTCTTGAACAGCCCACTCGGTCTCCCTGAGCCTAGTTCTCCCGGGGAATGGGACTCGGGATGCTGAATGTCAGCCCTTCCCAAAGGCCCCAGCACATCGTTTGTGCTCAGTAGACTTCACTGAGAGCTCTGCATACCTGCAATTACTACCAATCGAGTGAGTGGGGTGATGGGCGGGTAGAGAGTCACTTGGTCTGGCTGGGAACGTGAAGAACCAAGGTTCAAAACCACTGTCCGTTTGCTTCTACCTGCCGCCTGCCCACCACGTGGGGTCCACAGGGGGTGCTCTGGCAGCTAGAGCATGTCTTAGCCAAAGGGAGAGGGTCCCTCTCGCTGACCTGCAGGAGTGCCGGCAGGTAACTTCCCACCCCTCCACCGATGCAACCGAGACCACTCCCCTGTCCTTCCCGGCGGGGAGAGGTGTCCCCCTCCCTAGGAAGAGTGAGGCTGGGGGAGAATAACCTTCACGTTTAGTACATCGTCCAGCCATTTTAAGCACAGAATTAGGTAGAGTGAAAGGCCTCAGGCTGCATGGGGTGTGGCTGTAGAGCCCCAGGGTGTGAGAGCCCATGTCCGTCAATGGGTCTCACACCTCCTTTCTTCAGCCTGCCCTTACACAGCAGCCTGCTGCTTCCAACACAGCGGGTGTTACTTCGATTAATCAAGGATGGGGCTTCCCCAGAGAACAGCCTAAATTTGCACAGTTCCCTCCTTTTCCAGAGAAGAAGCCCCAAGGTCTTGAAGTGATAGAACTGGGCCCGGCACTAGATCCATCTGCCTGCAAAGCCCAGCAGAAGGACGGGTACGCCCCTGCCAGCCAGGCCGCCCTGGGTGTGACCCCAGCCTGCTGTGTAATAGTAGAGTCACTTGGGATAAGTTCCTCACCCTTCAGCCCCAACTTCCTCATCTGTAAATTAGAAGTAAAAAAAGTTTCCTTCACTGCATCTGGCGGGCACGTGCTGCGGCCACGCTATGTGTGAGGTGCTTGTGCTGCCTGGCGTATTAGAATTGCCCTGCTATCGTCATCATCGTCACTATTCGCGGGGGTGGGACAGCCTGCAGAGCTGGGCAGTCTTTGCCCCTTCGGCCTGTAGACAAAGCTGAGGCAGGGGGGAGAATCTGCGGGAGGGACCCACAGCCGCCTGGAGCAGTTGGGGACCTTCAGGGTCCCCACGTGTTAAAGTCAGACTCGGTGCCGCCTTCGCTCCATCCACAGGAGCCGGGTGGCCGGTCTGCGCGATCACAAAGACAAAGCTCCTGGTGGGGCCGCCGCCCCCTGGTGGGACGGCACCGGAAACGCCGCACGGTCCACACGCACCGACCCCAATCGCCGGTGCAGGCCGGGGAGGAGCTGGGGGTCTTGGCCTCATGGGGCAGAGAGGACCGGGGACCGGGGCCGCAGAGACCGCGTTGGGCCCCCGCCGGCTCTCCCCGCAGAACGCTCGGCCTCGGGGCCTTGGTGGACGCAGAGCCGGCGCCGGGGACGCGGGGAGGTCCTCCAGCTCCGCCCTCCCGCCTCCTGGGAGACGAGGGCCAGGGCAGTGGGGCTTCTGGCACCCGCAGGGCAGGAAAGGGTAAAGCACCTGTTTCCAAACTAAAGGGACCAGAATTCAACAGGAGACAGAGACTGCGGCAGGCTGGTCTTGTTGCTACTTGCTTCTCGTCCTTACCTACAGTAATTTAGGGCTCCGGACTCAAGGCCAGCCCGACAGACGGCAAGGTCACAGAGGTCATCGCCTGGAGGCAGCTGATGCCAAAGACGGGCAAGAAATGCCAAATAAAGCAAAACCGCAACAAAAACCTGGGCTGACCCGGCGTGTGCCCTAGGCACGCAGCAACGCCCGCCGCCTGCAGTACCTGCGCCGAGCAGCAGAGGGCAGTGTTGGCCTAGCGTGCGTGTGCCTACACGTGTGGGCGTGGTGCGTGTGCGCACTTGTGCAGGCAGTGGCCACTCCGCCAACGCTGGGTGCCCGGACCCAGGTTAAGCAGGGGTGATGTGCCAGCCTCCGTCCCTGGCTCCTCTCCGTCGTAGGGGCGGGGGTGGGGGCACAGGGAGGAAGCTACTCCTATGGGTGCCAGGGACCCCTTCCCTCACTGCACGGGGCCCCGCAGGGTCGTCCTTACCTACATTTCTCAAACTCCTCACGGTGATGGCGAAGCCCTTGGTGCGAGGCAGCAGGTGGTGCTTGAGGCTGGGCAGCCCCTTGGCCTGGGCCACCTGCATGCTTATCTGGTGCTTCTTCTCCGTGAACCGCGTGCCCTCGCAGTGAATCAGGAACTGGAAGGGACAGGGTGGCCGTCACACACGTCCCCGAGGCCACTTACACACCCCATGGTCACTCAGACAGCTGAGGTCACACACACAGCCTCGAGGTCACACACACAGTCCTGAGGTCACATAGACAGCTCCCAGGTCACACACACAGCCCAGGGGTCACACAAGGTCCCGGGGTCCCACGCACCATCCCCCGTCAAACGCCGCACACGGTCCCACAGGAGCCTTAGGAAGTGGCCCGAGCAGGGATGGCCTGGCAGCTGTGCCTGCTCTCCCCTCAGGACCTACAGCCCCCCGTCTGTGTTCAAGGGTCTGTGAGCTTCAGAGAGAGGGTCTACATTTGTGGAGGCTCAGGAAGCAGAGGCGTGAGCGAGTGTGAGTGTGTGACCGGGGAACCCCGAGTTCATATGCGACGGGGCACCCCGAGTGTGAGTGTGACGGGGCGCCCGAGGGCCGGGTGCACGTACAAAGTACTTCTCGGGGTAGTCCCGCAGGTGCAGCAGGCTCTCAGAGACGGTCTTGCGGTCCTGCTCCCACTTGCGCGTGCAGAAGACCATCTCCGTGAAGTACCACATCCAGCCGATTATGGGGACGTAGGCCAGCTCCTTCTTGGCCAGGACCTTGGAGCCCTGAAACAGAGGGGGCCCGGGGCGTCCGTGAAAGGGGGCGTGGGGTCCTCCCTGACGGCCGCTGGAGATCTCTAGGGGGAGTGAACGTGCACTCCAGGCACAGGGACAGTTCCCGAGCATGCAGAGGCAGGGAGCCTCCAACACCGGTCAGTTGGAGGTCAAGGTCGTGCAAACCCTGCCCCAGGGGGCAGGGAGCAAGGGGGCCTGGCTCTCCGAGGGGAGGGCGGGCAGCAGAGCAGTCGGGAACCTCTGGGGGCCATGGGATGCTGCATCACCCTCCACCAGCTCACACAGGTAGGTGCCCGCCCCGGAGTGCTCGCTAAGCCCACCATGCAGGCCTCACCCGGTCCGCAGCAACCCTGCTGGCTCTGCGGGTGGGCGGACCCTACCCTCCTTACAGGCCAGGAAACGTGGCCCAGCGGGTTCTCCGGGTTCGACAGCTGGGAAATGGTGGTGCCGAGAGGCGAACCGGGATCAGCAGAGGTGCTGGGAGAGCCCCACCCGTCTGCTGGCCAGCGCAGCCCCAAGGCTGCAGGTGCTGCAGGCCCCGAACGGGGGGGGGGGGGGGGGACACGACAAGCAGGGATCCAGTGGGGCGAGGGAGCAGGGGAGACACAAGAACCAGCTTTTGATCTAGTGGATTGGGTTCTATATTTTTCACCCCTAATTTTGGAATTGGCCAAGAGGCTCCTAGAAATAGCCGTCATCCATCAATGGCACAGATGATGGAGGCGGTGATGTGGACAAGTGGCAGCCTCAGCTGTGCTCCTGGTGACAGCTGTCTGGTCATGCCCCTGAACCCACGAGGCCCGGAAGCAAGAGCCATACTTCAGCATTGCCCTGTCTCTTTTCCCTGTCACTCCCACAAGAACTACAAAGCTCAGCAGAGGGGCAACAGGCCATATCCCCCAACCCACCCACGCAGGCCAGAGAAAGGTGTGAACAGCCACTTGTTCCCTTGACCTTAAAAAATCCACAAGCATCTTCCCCATTGGGAGAAGGAAAAGCACAGATACCTTTCAGGAGTAGCGTCTCCACGTTTTGGTGGGTTTTGGTTTTGTTTTTCCCACACACCAATTTCCAACATGCAAATTCCTTCAGACAGAACCAAGCCTGGGGAATTCCCTGCTGGTCTATTAGTTAGGACTCCGAGCTTCTACTGCAGGGGACACAGGTTCGATCCCCAGTCAGGGAACCAAGATCCTGCTTGCCGTGCAGCGTGGCCAAAAAAACCCAACAAACAAACAAAAAACCCCAAACAAAAAAGAAAAGAAATAAAAGAACCAAAGCCATAAAATCCGACGACCTGCCCCGGAGGGCCCAGAGGCAGGTCCCCAAAGATCAGAGTACTCTCCAAGTGAGGGGTGTGGGCCCACGTGTGCCCGGCACAGGCTACACTTTCTACGCATCACCACTCCCCCACTGGAGCCATCTAAAGGCCACGTGCTGAGTCCACGGGTGGGTTTCAGGCTGTGGGAGTCCTCCTGGCCCTCTCCTCAGCCATCCCCTCTTGTCAGCTGGGATGTTTTCATGGTCCCTGCTCTCTGCCCTTCAGTCACCTCCCTGATCACAGCCTTGAGGATGAAAACAAAACAAAAAATCTTCACCAAAGAACTAAACTTACTTTCTCGGCAGGATTATTTTAAAAATTACCTACTCCTGAACTCTTTCCAAAATTAATTTGTGGCAATTTGAAGGAGCTATGAACGGTGATCTACTGTATAGCCAAGAGAAGGATCATATACTCCAAAGTAGCAGCTGTTGGGTCTGGAAGGTGAATGGTCCAACGCAGTCAGTCACGGCTGTCTGCCGGGGAAAAGTACTCTCAGGGGTGTTTCCTATTAATGGATCCATCCCACAAGACCTAAGTGGGTCTTAGTGGTTGGCCCCTGATGACCTGCTGCTAAAAGGAAATGGCGACTTTGACACTGATGTGGGATGTACATGTAAACCAAAAGACGTGACCGCAACAGTCTGTGTGTCATCCCTGTCATACTGTGTCACAGCACTGAAAACCATCTAAATGTCCCACAGTGGAAGAGTTCTATGAATTACCACAACATTGCAAATTAACTATACTTCAATTTTTAAAAATTAAATTAAAAAAAAGAGTTCTATGAATTATGTCATATACGATATCATGCAAACGTAGCCAGCAGGCCGAATCTGCTCTGCCACCTGTTTTTATAAATAAAGTTTTACTGGGACACAGCCGCTCTCTTTTACATACACGTTGCCTACTGCTGCTTCCATGCTCCAGCAGTTGAGTTGAAAAGTCGTGACAGAGGCTATATGGTCCATGAAGCCTAAAATATTCACTATTTGCACAATTACACACAAACTTTGTCAACCCCTTGATCTACAGCCACTAAAATTTGTTTTCTATGAATATTTAATGGCTGGGGAAATGCTTTATGTTAAGACTAAATTTTATTTTTAATCTGTAATCAAAGCTGAGTTTATAGTATGACTAACTATATGGGATATGGTAAAACGGAGAAAAGTACCAGCAGCTATAGCCGGATGGTGAGATTAGCGGTGCTTCTTTAATTTTGTTAGATTTTCCTGTTGTTGTTTTTTTTTTTTCCTACTAAATATATAAAATACCTGAATGGGGTATCTTAAGTGGAACCTTGAAAACAGGTAAGACTTCAATAACAAACAGGCTAGGGCACCCACACTCTAACACGCTGAACTTTTCAGAAAACTATTTTGCTGGTGTCCCTCTAACAATGCCCTTTTTAAGAAGTGGTTGACATCAGCACATTTTCAACCATTTGCTTCTGGAACATGAGGCTCTGGATCAAAAACAGCCTATCTGTTTTTAATGAGGAAAAGGAACAGAGGAGCTATTTCTGTTTTTATGTTGAATTAATCCATCTTTCAACCTTCAAATTCTGGATGCTATGATTAGGCCTAGGCCTTGTTGTTGATTATGTTTACACGGTGAGCCTCAACTTTCCTGTCTGTATTCTTACGAGCAAAGTAATACTTAGCTGAAAGTGTTGCTGTAAAGATCTAGGAACACATGGAAACATATACCAAAGCTCCTAGCTGAGAACAGACACACAGGTGTTCAATAATGTGTAGCTATTATTATTACCACAAAGTAGCCACAGCAGCTGAATGTCCCTTTTAATTCAACCCATTTCCTAAGCCAGGTTTAGAATGTAGTAATAACAATAGTTACACGTAGTACAGCACTCCGTGACAGGCACTGGGCTAGGAGATTTACAGGAGTTAACTCATTTATGACCAAAAACTAGAAACGTACTATTCAAATATGCATACAGTCCTCCAGGAAACTTAATATGCCAACAATGCCATGACTCCCCCAGGTCAAGCAAAGGTCTCTGTGTGTGGATGGTAGTGCCTTTAAGAGAGAACGTACAAGAAAATATACCAGTTTCATTGACTCTAGATTAATTTTGAAGATAGATCTGAGAGGATTTACTGATGAGTTAGATTTATCAATAGAGCCATCTAGGCACAAGCATATCTAAAAAACAAAAAATGTTCCCAGGTAGCACAGAGCAATCCACAACTACAGGGGCTGAAACGTACCCCTAGCCACTTTCTAGCTGCTGTAGGGAGTCATGATCATCACATCACATCACATCCTATGGTGAAAAGTTTATGAAACTTTCTAGCCTGTGTGTGTGTGTGTGTGTGTGTGAGAGAGAGAGAGAGAGAGAGAGAGAGAGAGAGAGAGATTGAGAATTGTCTTACCACAGCTGCCCAAGCAATCTAATTAAGCAGCCCATAACCATTTCCAGGACCACCCAGTTGCTCAGGGAAGCAGCCACCCCCAGGAGTCCCAAGTTCAGCACCTCCAGCCAACTGGCCGACCCCTGGGCAGAGGCCACAAGGTGCTACAAAAACCTGTTCTAAGGATGCAGTAAGATCTGGTGCATTCCAACCTGAGATTATCTGGCTCTCGCCTCACTTCTCTCCGCTCTACAGCCTCTGTGGTTAAAAAATGAGCAGAGGGGCTTCCCTGGTGGCGCAGTGGTTGAGAGTCCGCCTGCCGATGCAGGGGACACGGGTTCGTGCCCCGGTCCGGGAAGATCCCACATGCCGCGGAGCGGCTGGGCCCGTGAGCCATGGCCGCTGAGCCTGCGCGTCCGGAGCCTGTGCTCCGCAGCGGAAGAGGCCACGACAGTGAGAGGCCCGCGTACCGCAAAAAAAAAAAAAAAAAGGCACAGAGTCAGAACTTCCTAGTTAAGGTTTTTCTCCAACACGGCCATATGCCAATTGATAAGATGAAAATGTTAAGTGTTGCTGCTGGGTTTGTAGGATAGTTGGGGACAGTAGGGCGTCCTCTGCAGTCACCTTTCCATAATGTCCCTCCTCCTCCAGCCACTCTGCAGGGACCAGCAGAGAACGCAAGTAGGGCCTGAGACTAGTCAGCACGATGGCACCTGGTCAAGGGGTTGTTTGCATAAATATCTCTTCCTGGCTTCCCTCCTGAAGGTCCACCATCATGGTTACCAGTTGGGGTCACCCAAGGTCACTTATTTCCACTAAATATATAAAATACCTGAATGGGGTATCTTAAGTGGAACTTTGGAAACAGGTAAGACCTCAATAATAAACAGGCTACGGCATCCACATTTTAACACTCTGAGCTTTTTCTCGACTGTGAGCTAAAAACACAGTCGCAAATGTTTAAGATTAGTGGAGACCAGCCAAGCTGTGTAGGCCCATCACCATAGAGGACCAGCAAGTGAACCAACAGCTCAGCCGCTATCATGAGGTGTGATATGTGAACCTGAACCTCAAAGCCACTCTGGTCATGCAGCAGGTATTTGCCAAAAACCTCCTTGGTGCTGGGAACACAAAGATGGCTAGGACTGTCCATGGGCTTCAGGTGTCCAAAGTATAGTGGGAAGAGAGAAACAGAAATCTAGCAACTGGGCTTCCGTGGTGGCACAGGGGTTAAGAATCTGCCTGCCAATGCAGGGGTCACGGGTTCAATCCCCGGTCCGGGAAGATCTCAC